TTAATTCAATTTTATTTATTTTTTGTTATATTTTATTTAACATTGTTTTGTTTAATTTTATTTGTTTTGTTCTGTTACGTTTTATTTAATTTTATTTTCTTTAGTTTATTTTATGTGTAGTTCAGGTATTAAAACTGTGGCTGTTACACAATTATATATGATCTCATCAGGTGAGTCTGACCCATGCATTTTATTTTACTATTGGAATCAGCTGTGTGTTTGTGTGTGTGTGTGTGTGTGTGTGTGTAATAACTAATAAAAATTAAAATAAATAAAAGTCCTGTATTTAATGCTCGAGTAAAGTTATACAAGTATTATCAGAAAAATGTAATTTATGAAAAGTAAAACTCGTCATAAACATTCATAAATAAAAATACACCATTAAAGCAGGCTACAAATACCTTGACTTTGTACTTAAGTACAGTACTTCAGTAAAATACTTTATTACATTAAACCACTGACTGTGATTCACTCAAATTATTTTATTATTTACATTTTTTTTTTTTTCCGATGTGTAGTGAGACCTCTGTCGTTACACACGATCTCTGCTGTGCTCCTCCGCTCCGCTACCGGCCGCTGTGGGTCACCACCGGCACGTTAACCGACGTTAAACCGTTAAACCCGGAGGAAGCAGGAAAACACGGGGCGGCTTGTGAGCAGCAATCACGGCTGTAAACGGGCTGTGTTCACCGGGACAGAAGATCCTCCAGGACTGCACCGGGGATTCGTCACTCTTAGAGCCGGGACTGGAGCTCTGTCTGCCGGGGAGAGGCGCTGCCTGCCGCGGTGTGTGTGTGTGTCCGGAGGCCGGCTGAGGGGAAGATGGAGACCCCAGGTAAACTTTGTTAATGCGTGGCAGAAGGACTGAGAGACAGACAGACAGACAGACAGAGGGACAGACCTGTGCTGTAGTCAGACTATCCTGAAACTATTAATACATTTAAACAAACAATAAAACATATATTTTAAGATTTAATTTATGATTTAACCTCCATTAACTAGTTCTCTGTCTCTGACTCAAACCAAACTTCATTTAAAAAAATCAACATTTTTACTGTGAACCACTCACTGACCTGTGGTGTGTCCAGACTGTCTTCAAACTATTTATATAAGATAAGCTGTAATACAATATAATACAATATAATATAAAACCTTAATACAGTTATCTCTGCATGGCTGACTCAGGCCAAACCTCGTGTAAAAAATCAGTGATTTTACAGAGAATGTTTTTCACTAATGTTATTAGAGGTGTGAAAACAGTGACAGAAAGTATGTTTATTAAAGTACTATACATTTAAGGTACCTGTGTCCATGTTATGTTACTGCAGTACTTTTTAGAGGCAGCTGTACTATTTACTTCACTATATTTATTTTCTAGCTGAGTATTTATGAAAAGCAAATGTTCCCGTTTCAGTGTAAAGTTATTATTCTTGTGTCAGAGCCTGAAGTCTGTAACAAAGCTTCATATTATATCGTCTGATTTGACTAGTTGAAGTAACTTTTAAGTGTAACTGTAGTGCAGTAAAAATACGGGATTACCTTCTGAAACATACTAAAATGGAAGTATAACGTTGTGGTGGGGGAAACATCAGTACAGAATGTCATTGTGATATTTAGCGTGGTGATATGGTGTCAATACACAGAAACCAAGTGTTGATTTTTTATCATGTGAATTATTAATATTGCAAACATAAATAAGAAAAATTGGGAGCTCCCAGAAAATTAAAATCTACTGCTGTTTAGTCCACTGATGCGTTTTTCTGCAATAATGATGAACAGATTAAAACCTTTATTAAAAAACGTCTTTAAAGATTTCCCTTGGGGACATAATTTGTAGTTCAATAAATTGCAACGTAACAATATATGTTTTAACATCACAGTAATATTGTATCATGTGTTAAGATTCAAGAAGTTTATTGTCATATGCAGAGAAGAAAACTCAGCGCTTTGCACCCTACAATGAAATTCTTAATTGCCTTCACACAACACAACAACAGAAATTAGAATTAAAGTTAATAAAGTTAAAGTAAATTAAGAAAAATAAAGAAATTCTAAAAATAAATAATAAAAAATAAATAGAAATAGCAGAAACAAAGAAATGAATTTTAAAAAAGTCATAAGCAGTGTTTTCACAATGAGCATTTTTGGCGGCTGTTCGTCTTTGAGTTAGCTGCTAACTGCTATCAGCTCCATCATAAACCTCCCATGGCCGGTCATACACATAATAAGTCGTTAAAACATCACACCCTCGCCACCCATAGTCCCGTCCTGCCAGCTGTCCTGTTATACAGAGGTTGTTTCGGCGTTGTTAGTACCTCCGCTGCCACCCTTAAAAGCGAGACGACTCCGTCTCCCCATTCCAACATTGTACCCTTTATACAGAACAGCAAAACAGCGCAACATTGTGAAATTCTCGCCATGAACAGGCAGTGTAAACATGCATGACGTCATGTAAGGTTGGACTTTAAGTGACAGGACTTACATGCTAAAAAAAGACTTTAAACTTTTAATCGTATGTTGCGCTGCAGTGTTTCCTTAAGTTCTACGTCACTTCTGTGAATCTTGAAAACACTGTAAATTAGCATTTTTGCACTCTAGCTGTTACATAACGCTTCTGTAACATAATTAATTCATCATGTTAGAGTTTTAACACAAGTTTTAGACTTTCTAACATGAAGTCTTTCTTGTTTTTACAGTGTGAACACCTCAGCTAAGTTAATCAAAGCTCTTCTGGGTCGGCTACACTGAACCATGGATCAGACACTGTTTAATTTATCAGGCAACGGGCGCATCGTCGCCGGCCTGCTGGTCAACCTGCTGTCCTCCATCTGCATCGTCTTCATCAACAAATGGATCTACGTACACTACGGCTTCCCCAACATGACGCTGACCCTGGTTCACTTCGTGGTCACCTGGCTGGGACTCTACATCTGTCAAAAGATGGACATCTTCTCTCCAAAGAGCCTCCCGGTGCGCAGGATCGTGTGGCTGGCTCTGAGCTTCTGTGGGTTCGTGGCCTTCACCAACCTTTCCCTGCAGAACAACTCCATAGGCACGTACCAGCTGGCTAAAGCCATGACCACGCCCGTCATCATCCTCATCCAGACCACCTACTACAAGAAGACCTTCTCCACCAAGATCAAACTGACACTGGTGAGGAAAGTCTCATGTTGTCACACCGGGTGCCAATAAAACAGTTTGTGTGCGTGGATATAACATGTTAAGACGATGTAAAGACGAGATTAGATGCAAATTCCACTGATGCGATGCGATTGACTTGAAACAAGCAGCACGGATGATGCGAGTAGTGCGATTTGTGTCATATGCTAATTCGCAAGAGTTGAAAACTCTTAACTTCAGTTACTGATTTGCGCCGCGATAGTCAATCAGCATTGAGATCCTCTGGGGACGTATGACGCCTTTTTCACATGTGACTTCATGTGCGTATGACGAACATTATTCACTCGTATGAAGTGAGTCAACATAAAATGTTCTTGCGTTCAAACTCACACGAGTAACACAACATAAGGGTCCTGAGACCTGGTGGGTCGTGGGTTTCATGTTCAGTGTTATATGACACTGTGATGAGCTGTGAGCGGTGGTTTTGTTGTTTTGACCTTGTCTCTGTCTGTGTCTCCCTCTGTGTCTCTGTCTCTGTCTC